GTTTTCCCCATGGCCTTGGGTTTTCTGACCGAGGCTGCTGTTTAGCCTGTTGACTGCATGCCTGTGTCTGAGGCTTGGCAGCCCTTTGTCTCCCTTTAACCGCTGCTGCTGCTGTAGCTACAGCAAAGCCTGCCCTTGGTGCTTGCGGGTGTAAGGGATGAGTTTCCGGGACAGGCAGAGGTCAAAAGCTTCAAAAAAGCGACCAAAAAGCGACCAAAAAGACCCTTGGCCATGGCCCCCTGAGAGGTTCAGCCACAAATCCCTCTCACCCGCGACAACAAGCCCCATCACTCGGCCTCAGCCTTGGACTGCTTCGCATGAGGAGCACAGGATGAGGTCGTTCATCAGCTGGCACGAGTTGTTTAGATGGTGGATGGGCTGGTGGGAGCCTCTTACTGTCATATAGGACTCTCACCATTGCCTCGGCATCCTGGGCTGCAGGCCACATTATCCCCAATTTCGATGCAGCCCGTTTGCAGACCTCGTATAAGTTGCTGTCCACGGGGGACACAGCTTGGATGCACTTGGGTCTGGACTGTTGAGCGGGGAACGTGGAGTCATCCTCCTCGTTCTCCATCTCGTCCATGTCGAGGATGTCAGACTGCATCCTCACAGCCCGGTTCCACTTCCACCTCAGCCTCCATCATGTCTGCACAGCTCGTGGTGGCTTTTGGCCAAAGAGAGTTGGTTGTGGCTTTCGGGGGCTGTCAACAGGCATGGGTCCTGGCTGTTAGCCACCGCAACTGCAGGCTATGCACATGAAATGAGGGGCCCTGCCCGAGATGGACGCCATGATGCTGGGCACAGGCGGGATGCAGCCTCTTTGGCCTTTGGTTCAGACCCTTTGGTGGGGGCAGCAGCCGAGGACATGGCACTGGAAAAGAACACCACAGCCTGATGAGTAGCTGTAGCTTTACTAGGCGTGCCGCTACTCGTAAGCCTATCTGCTCAGGTAAGCTAGCACAAGGGGTTTTAGCCAGAGCTAAGTAGGTAACATAGGAGACCGATCGTCATGACATGTTAGCCCTGCTCCGGGTAACGTTACACTGCCCAGTTAACAAATTAATGTTAACTAAAACCTATTTGACTTTCCGTAACGCGTTCGTAAGTTACAGGGTGGCCAGAGAAGTGGTTTGCCTTGACGCGGACACTGCTCTGAAATTATGCCATGTAACAGCAGAATATACTTCTTACGAAGGACTTAATCAGCAAATCCAGACTTGCCCTGAACTGCGTTTGATGACGTCGGCCTTAACGGATCGTCTCTGAACAGTTTAGCAGCTAACCAGCTTTGTATAGTTTCTTCATACAAAGAAGGCGAGAATGAGCTGGGAGGGGTTGGTTGGCTGTGGTAGCTCACACAGCTCGACCTGTCTGTCACTGACAGACATGGTGTCATCGGAGCTTCCATAGTAGGTCACGCTGAGGCATTTCCCATAGTGAAACACCAAACGGCGTGAGAAAAAGAAATACACAAAATATACAAAAGAAATAAGGGTCACTAGGGGGTTGTTGAAGAGAACTTAGAGAATGTTCTAGCCAGGCACTTTGGTCCCCAGGGCTCAGTCGCCAAAGAAGAGGGCGAGTGTTAAAATGCAGGGCATGCGTCAAAGAGTGGACGAACGTGAAAGAGCCTCTCATTCTCTCCAAACTGCCAGACAGGCCACGGCAGATGCTAGCAACACAAACAACCTGCTCGTAGTGGACAATTTCTCTAGATACATAGAGGTTACCCAGCTGAGCCCGATAAGGTGCACTGATGCTGTAGTACACCTGAAGTCAATGTTTGTGAGATATGGCATTCCAGAGATATGAGCTAGCCCCAATCACAAAGCAGTGGTGAGGCCAAACAAGCTGTGAAACAAACAGTGAAAAGCTTGTTGAAAAAGGCAAACGAAGCGTACAGAGCTATGCCACTGAGCAATGACTACAGCCCGGCCTAGTTGCTCATGGGCGCCTCCTGCATACAACCCTGTCAACCTTGCGATGTTGGAACCAGACATCACGGACCTGTGGAGATTTCAGACAAGGAAAGAGAGAGGAGGTGGATGGACAGGAGCAACTACGACCAAGATAACAGAAACGGGGACATGTACACATGCTATGCCGAGATACAGCCAGCTCCACCAGCTACAGACAGCTGCTTTGAGACACAACAAGCATGTACTACTGCAGTGAACGGTTCTGGCCCAGATCTGGCAGAGAAGCCAATATCAAATTGACTATACACACTGTGGGGAAAAAAAGGAGAAAACAAATGTCACTCGTAAGAGTAATGACAAGTCTCAGATTTATGTTACTGATGACAGGTGACACTATATACTTGTGAATTTCACCAAAACATCTTTTTTATTTAATGTTAAATCCTTATGTTTGGGACTGTAATCAATTGCATGTGTGTTTTATTTGGTGCGTGTGTGTGGACGTGACCGCCGTGGTGACATGGTTGCCGTGGTGACATGGGTGAGAGTGCAAACACTCTCACCCATGTCATGTCTGTCATGTCTGTTATGACTAGAGGTAAGCTGCCGTTGAACTTCTATATATATATCTATATATACACTACCGTTCAAAAGTTTGGGGTCACCCAAACAATTTTGTGTTTTCCTGAAAAGTCACACTTATTCACCACCATACGTTGTGAAATGAATAGAAAATGGAGTCAAGACATTGACAAGGTTAGAAATAATGATTTGTATTTGAAATAAGATCTTTTTTACATCAAACTTTGCTTTCGTCAAAGAATCCTCCATTTGCAGCAATTACAGCATTGCAGACCTTTGGCATTCTAGCTGTTAATTTGTTGAGGTAATCTGGAGAAATTGCACCCCACGCTTCCAGAAGCAGCTCCCACAAGTTGGATTGGTTGGATGGGCACTTCTTGCGTACCATACGGTCAAGCTGCTCCCACAACAGCTCAATGGGGTTCAGATCTGGTGACTGCGCTGGCCACTCCATTACCGATAGAATACCAGCTGCCTGCTTCTGCTCTAAATAGTTCTTGCACAATTTGGAGGTGTGTTTAGGGTCATTGTCCTGTTGTGGGATGAAATTGGCTCCAATCAAGCGCTGTCCACTGGGTATGGCATGGCGTTGCAAAATGGAGTGATAGCCTTCCTTATTCAGAATCCCTTTTACCCTGTACAAATCTCCCACCTTACCAGCACCAAAGCAACCCCAGACCATCATATTACCTCCACCATGCTTAACAGATGGCGTCAGGCATTCTTCCAGCATCTTTTCATTTGTTCTGCGTCTCACAAACGTTCTTCTTTGTGATCCAAACACCTCAAACTTGGATTCATCCGTCCACAACACTTTTTTCCAGTCTTCCTCTGTCCAATGTCTGTGTTCTTTTGCCCATCTTAATCTTTTTCTTTTATTGGCCAGTCTCAGATATGGCTTTTTCTTTGCCACTCTGCCCTGAAGCCCAGAATCCCGCAGCCGCCTCTTCACTGTAGATGTTGACACTGGTGTTTTGCGGGTACTATTTAATGAAGATGCCAGTTGGGGACCTGTGAGGCGTCTGTTTCTCAAACTAGAGACTCTAATGTACTTATCTTCTTGCTCAGTTGTGCAACGCGGCCTCCCACTTCTTTTTCTACTCTGGTTAGAGCCTGTTTGTGCTGTCCTCTGAAGGGAGTAGTACACACCGTTGTAGGAAATCTTCAATTTCTTAGCAATGTCTCGCATGGAATAGCCTTCATTTCTAAGAACAAGAATAGACTGTCGAGTTTCAGATGAAAGTTCTGTTTTTCTGGCCATTTTGAGCGTTTAATTGACCCCACAAATGTGATACTCCAGAAACTCAATCTGCTCAAAGGAAGGTCAGTTTTGTAGCTTCTGTAACGACCTAAACTGTTTTCAGATGTGTGAACATGATTGCACAAGGGTTTTCTAATCATCAATTAGCCTTCTGAGCCAATGAGCAAACACATTGTACCATTAGAACACTGGAGTGATAGTTGCTGGAAATGGGCCTCTATACACCTATGTAGATATTGCACCAAAAACCAGACATTTGCAGCTAGAATAGTCATTTACCACATTAGCAATGTATAGAGTGTATTTCTTCAAAGTTAAGACTAGTTTAAAGTTATCTTCATTGAAAAGTACAGTGCTTTTCCTTCAAAAATAAGGACATTTCAATGTGACCCCAAACTTTTGAACGGTAGTGTATATATATATATATATATATATACTTACACATATAAAAGTTGATATTTGTAAATTTGGCGTGACTAAACTGTTGTATGTTGTTGTATGTTATGTCCGACTCGCCTTGTGTGAGTCTTAATGTTATTTGCTAACCAAAGTTTTTTTTATTAATTAATTCACAAACCTAAAGGCTTACGTTAGCATGCTAGGCAGTCACAGTACAGAGTGGAGGACACTGTGTATTCTTCTAACGGCTAACGGCTGAATTACTGAAAAGTTAAGACTGTGCCTGTGTGTTTAATGCCAGAACACGACACAGACTCATCGGCAGACACATACACAAACACACATGATTGGGTCATTGAATACCATATCATATAGAGGTGAAATACTGTGAAATGTCTTGGTTGCAGTACACTTATATGTGAAAATGGTTTAAGGTAAGAAGTTCACATTAATGAAAAATTACGTGTGACATTCTACGCAACAGCAAGCAGAGTTCAGATGCATGCTCAGGGTTACCAAGCTGAAGAGCAGTCATGATTAAGCTACTGCCTGAATGTAGATAGTGTATTGCTCAGTAAAAGTTATAAAATGTGCCTATAAAATGTCTTTACCTGCTCTCGACTCCCTGGGGAAATTCTGAGTCTAGACTTCCTAAAAATAATACTAACAACATAATAGTTAGTATACTCTTCCATAAGTGCAACACTTTTGCATTGTGAAGGGTAATTAACATTGCAGTGAAACTTCAGAGTCCAGCATATTTAACACAAAAATGCACAAAAGTCTGCCTTTGTGGTCAACCATTACCCCCCTAAAATCTAGATTTCTTCTCTCACCTGTGTCAGTGTGGCAGAATTCAGGGGTAAAGGAGATGTCATCAATGGCGACGTATCCACCTCTGGCACTGTTAAAAGCTACCTCAAATACCACCTGGTAACACATACAGACATAAACAGCAACCATTAACAGATGGGTAATGAGCAATGTATGACTTAGACCTATTAATCCTGAGAACATGCTCTATAAATTGTCAAAGATATGTTGTGAAAGTTTGACATATACTTATAGATGAGACATCCGTAGAAGCCAGACAGTGACATCAGTATAGGATAAATTCAGGAACATGGGTCAGTAGCTGCTTGATGGAAACAGTCTGTGCAACTCTTGGCTCAACTGGACAGAGGAACTGACCCAGTTAGTAATGTTACGTAAGCTTCTTTCTACAGCAACAGCAGGCTGTAAAAAGTGTTTTGGCAGAAAGCATAAGGAAAGGAAACCATGAGAAGCATACACCATTGAAAGAGCAATGGAAAGCCGCAGAGGAGTGAGTGTGTCTGTCTATTCAGCTGCATACACAACAATAAGAAAGAGGCGGACCATACTGTATATAGACATGTCTGAAAAGCACAGTGGACTAATAACACAAAAACACTTGAAATAAGTTCATTACAAAGGAAATGAGCAGTTATTTGTCATGCTCAACAATTATATATGCTCAACAAATATATATATATATATGTATATGGTAGTGTTGTAGTCAAGACCGCACAAACCGAGACCAAGTCAAGACCAAGACCAGAGTTTATCGAGACCGAGACAAGACCAAGACTTTTAGGGGCTGAGAGCAGTCAAGACCGAGACTGAGGGAGGGCGAGACCGAGTCAAGACCAAGACCAGTTCCCTGCATTGCATAGCACGCAATAAAATGTGGAACGAGATCATAGGTACTTCTCAAATTGATCTGAAAGATCCACAGTCATTTTCTGGATTTCATGTTGATACTTTTGCATCAAAGTTGCATTATATAGTTTGCTGTTCAGCGTTTGTTAGGTATGATAAAATCCAAATCAAACATGGTGTGAAGTGATTTATCTATGTTCCAACTGTAATGGTAGTATTGCAGGAAATATATTTTTGGCTACAATACTTGAAGTGTGAAAAAATGATTCCAGCACAGCCTAACTTTGACCTACTGTACTTACTGTAGTTGTGTCCTCTCACAGTTTCCCTGTACAATGAGGAATTACTTTCAACATATTAACTATGCTCACTTTCAGTTTGACCATCAGATAATCTGGATAAACTGTTCTGTCTGACTGCTTGTTTCCATTGCATTTGATGACTTGATATCACTGTGTTTCAAGAGGTCAGCTATAAACTTGGTTAGTTCATTGTTTTCATGACTGCCTGAGATGATCGACAGAGTTACAAAAATAGGACCCAAACTGTAATAAACTGGAAAACCCATGCAGGCATTTTCTAGAGCAGACGAGACAGCCCATGTGACTTCCTGTATGGGCTTTCCTTTCTTTTTATAGGAGTGAGGCCAGACCTCACTAATTATCACCCGCTGCTCCATAGCTTTATAGTTGATTCAGTCACTCTGGCTCTCTCTCCCTGGGCATATGGTTTGTTGTTTGGGTTAGGTTTTCCTTGTCTTTAGTTTCTTTGTTCATTACACTTCAGTGTACAAACACGCAGATGTGATGGAAGCCGGCAAGGCTGTGCAGTGAGTAAACTTCACTCCTCGACACCCTAAGAGACGCTCTGGCGACCGACGCCAGGGCGCATGGGTTTTAACCTCTCCTAGTCTGCCTCCCATACCCGAGGTCGCCGGTTAGAGTCAGGACCGTGCAGTACGTTCTCGGGGGCAGACGGTTACACAGACACTCAACAACACACTACTGATGTTACTGATTTACATACTTTAAATCTTCATCTGTTAATTTATACTTTGTTAAAAAAATCTTTAGTTACAAGTTACGAGGTGTCCTCTCCCTTTTGTCCTCCCTTTGAGCCGGGCTGTGACACAGACCACAGGTTTTTTTAAATCCATGTGTGTTTTCATATATTTCATCTCATGACGTTGACCTACTTGCTATTAGTGTGCATTCTAGCTCCAGTACTGACCTCAAGGGGGTGTGGGGCCTTTATGTCAATGCCGACCAGAGTCCAGGCGGTGGTAACATACACCTCTGGCCTCCAGATCTCCTCAAAGTGGCCCAGCTGGTCTTTGGTGAAAACTGAAAAGATGTTTCCCCTCTCCTGGTCTCGGTGGTAGTAGAAGGACAGGCAGCCGGCCATGGGCACCGTAGTCATGGGTGAGGTCAGCTTGGCCACTTCCTGGAAGTGCTTGGCGTACACAGAGTCCACATACATGTAGTGGCCTGAAGCAGCAGAAGATATAGATGAGCTCACACTACACATTATGCGCTGATACAGTCACATTTATAGAAAATGTGTGGTTTTACAAGTTGTCATAAGACAAATGACAAGATGACTCATTTGCAGTAATTCACACAGACCTCCATCAGTGTTTGAAGACTAAACAATTTTATTGACAGACTGTAATGAGCATTGACGATATTATTATTATTATATTATTACATAAAGCAGTAATGGATAACCACAAGTCCCAACCTGTAAGTCTTCATTCTAACCAAACAACACAGCAGCTTTTCTCCAGCCAGCACTCCTCCCTGATTACTGATTCTGCCTCCAAAACCATTAATCCATGTAAACAGACTGTCAAACTATAGAGCACTGCTCTCTGCAACTTTATGTGCAGCCGGATCCTGGATGTTTAAAACTGATAGACCATGAGCTGTGGGAAAAGTTTATTTAAATGCAGCACAAGGTCTTTACAGACTAATAAAGGTAAGAAAGAAACAAGAACAGAACAATAATTAACTGATGACAACACTAGGTTTGATAAGAAATGAACATGAGGCATGTTACAGAGAAGTGCTCATTAACAACACAAAACAAAACAAAAAAGCTGGAAGCTGTGGAGAACTTGAGATAAAGCATCATCATCAGACTTCTGCAAGAATGTTTTTGTACTTTTATCTTAAACATCTCCAAGTGACAAACTCAAATTCGTACACAAGGCTACACTCCCTGTTCCACTCCATTTTTAGGTATCATTCTACCTAAAAATTTACCAAAGAGTAATAAAAAAGTCCTGGTGTCAGCAGGCAGAAACAAAACCAATGTAAGTAGTGAAATTAGGGGATAAAATAAAAAACAAATATTACTACAGCTGTCTTTATAATATTATAATATTCTGTATTCTGAGAGAGAGAGAGAGAGAGAGAGAGAGCATTGCTCACAGCTTCAGGGCTTGTCAGCAACTACTAATTTGTCCCGAGCAAAATTGTAATCAAAACATTTAAATATAAATGTTGTCGGTCAGCGTCTAGTCAATGTACTTGCTACACAAATGGTTAACAGTCGCCGCAAAGTAGTGAGAGAATAACATGACACACCTGACCGCGACACAGACACCTGTCGCTCTCTCTGCTGTCTCTGTCCCCCTCCCTCAGAGACACTTCGCTCTGTTTGACTGTCTCTCTGCTCCAGGATGCTTAATTCCCTCTGAAGCGGCTGTGAGCTGCACTTTATCAGAGGTGCTGAAGTGAACATGTGTGTGGATGTGTGGTAATATTTCTGTCTGATCACAAGTGTTTTCAGTTTTGGTTTTCTACCTCTGATGAAGAGCAGTGAGCTCTTCTCATCCAGTCCAGTCCCAGACAGGTATTCTGTCTGTCGGACGGTCTAAAGGGGGTAGCAGCCTACTACCATTTCAGCAGAGCACTAAGGCAGGGTAATGCACAGCAGTGGGGCAGGTAGATTTTGTTAAAATATAATGACTTCATTCTCATTATATCTCGTAATATTATATCTCAACTTGTTATTCTGCAAATGTCAGAGAACACAGATATGTGGGAGAGATTTTTAATGTGCAGAAAGTTCTGAACATTGAGCAGAAAAGCTGCTGAAACACAGGAGCTATTAAGGTGCAGGGGATATTAACTGAATTAAATGAATGGGGGAAAAAACAGGAGAAACATATTTGACAGCAATACAGAATGCCTGAGAGCCTTTCCTTTATATAAATAAAGACATTTCCTCAATGAATTGGTGCAGAACAATTCACCAGAATGCAGGAAATGAAGTGTTTAAAGCCCAAATGTTTCAGGGGGAGGATCCCCAGACTCCCCTCTTTAATCTTTTTTTTTTTTAATTATTATCAGTAGTAATTATAAAAATCATAATAAATGTATTTATTTATTATGATATTTAATAACTAAAGTGTAGCTCAGTGATTTATAGGGTTCAGTTTGACAAATGGAACAACAATGTAGCAGTTTTTGAGGGTTGATACAAGTATGTCTCCAGAATGCAGGAAATTAAGTGTTTAATGTTTAAAATCTTTTGTGGGGGTACCTCCAGACCCCCCTATCAACTATTTTGTCAATAAAAATTTTTCCCAAATACAAAGCCTATTAAAATATATTGTCTTGTTGTCATGGCCCCACTATTGTGCAGTGTCAAGTCTCATGGGCTAAGAGTTTTGTCAAACCCCTAATCTAAGCCCTTAAAAGCAAGGATGGTGTATTGGTGAGGGACGTCCGACCGATTTTGGTGGGCCGCCTGGGCCAAAAATGCCAGGGCCGATTTTTTGTCCCAGTCCAGATGGTGGAGAAGTGGTTTAAGCTACGGTAATAATTAGAAAAGTTTCTATGGACATTTTGTTAGTTTGTAATCACATTGGTCTGCTGCTGAAATCCATTGTCACTGCTGAGAATCCAAATTGCCTTATATTGCTAATGTACAGTCTTCACCTGCTCGATATGAAATGTGCAATGAGATAATGTTTGTTATGAATTGGTCATATATAAATCAAATAAATTAATTCATACATTGCCAAGCAGAAGCAAAGTGTATATTTGATACATATTAGAGATAGAGTATTGTCCTAGTTTAAATTCAGTCTGTAATGACTGAGTTTATTTCACCATGGCTTTTATTGTATTCTGTTTGATAACTACCTCATATGTTTCATTCCCTTTGGGATTAATATAGTATACACTAACTATCTACAGAATGTACCTATCTATCTTACCATTCTCTGTAAAGGAGCACGGCAAAGACACCTTTTCAAAGCCACCTTTCAAGACAGGAGTGGGCATCATCTAATACTCTAAACATGGTGGTGTATTCCTTCAAGGACAGCTTTGCTATCATCAGGCACACTTTAATCCCAATAACTCTTTGCCTTAAATTTCTGAAGTTATGGATGCAGGTTATGAATGTGTATGTGGGGTGTGTAAATGTGTATAATGTGATTAAATGTGTATAAAGTGATTTTTATGTAACACAGTGTAGCAATGAACAAGTATTTCATTGTTTCTTGTACTTGACTTTTAAACGACTAACTCTTCGACTTACAAATCTATCTGTTGACATGAGCTGCCGCGATAAAACCTGCACATGCACAGCTCTGGATGTAAACTCAGGAGGTCAGACAGGCTGTGTGAATGTGTGTGTGTGTGTGTGTGTGTGTGCGTGCGTGTGTGCGTGCGCACATATACCTCTCTGGTTATTGTTGGTGTGGTTTCCAAGCAGGTTAGACTCAGGCTCTCTAGCCACACTTCCCCCAACATACCAGTTGACATTTGGGTTCCAGCTGTTACTGTAGCCACACAGGTGATGCTCCTCAAAATTACACTCTAGTAACAAGAACAGCAAATGTTACATTTTTGGAATGAATAAAAACACTTTCACATCAAACTTTACATCAAAGGTGAAACATCTCACTTGCTATAATGTTGACACTGACCAATGCAGTAACCAGTAACAATGTGAATTTCAAAGATGGCCACGCTGTTCCCTGAGCCGTGTTCAGGTCGACCTTCCAGCAAAACCTGTGTAAGAAAAAAAGACTTAACAAAGTGGGACAGAAGGCAGCCAACATTACAATATCTCCCATTTGCTTTATACTACATCAGATTAATCTAATCTAAAAGTAGTCATCTGCACACATTATTCACCACCACATTGTGCATAAGAATGTTATTTTGGCCACTTTTCTCTCATTAAGTTAAATCAAGTGACTGTTAGCAACTTTAGTTATATAGCAAAATTTAATATATCACAAGTGGCCTCAACTGTTTTCAAGGCAAGATGAAAAATCAGCTGTGCAAGAACAAGCAGCACAGATATAGAACACACACAAGGGACAGTTGTGTATCTGGAGGATGGATCCTGACAGACTTCCATAAATGTAGGCAGTAATTAAATAATACAATGAGACATAGATGTATATCTTTTTTAATTAGCTTCTTTATTTAGTTGGCCGCAATCAACTTGCAGATTTATCTGCATCAGCGTTTATAACAGCGGATACAGTGGGAGGAAGATAATTGTCCTTGCCACAAAACATTGCAGGAACACCTCGAGAGGTAGGATTCGAACCACAGGAGTGCTTTACTCGAGATGCCCATTGCATCAAGCAGGATAAGAACCGAGGATTGGGCTGCAGCTTTAGCTGACCTTAGGGCTTCTGTTACAGACAACAGAGCCATTTCAGTAGTGTGGGCACTCTTAAAACCAGACTGATATGGATCTAGGACGTCATTCCGTGAGAGGAATTATGAGACCTGTTTGAAGACTGCCCGTTCGATAGTTTTGGATAAAAATGGTAGAAGTGAAACTGGATGATTGGACTCGACTTGAGTTGGGTCATGCGAGGGCTTTTTGAACAAGGGTGTAACCCGAGCCCTTCTGAAAGTGGTCGGGAAGGTTCCCGAAGCCAGAGAAGTATTTATCACGAATGATTGCCGGGACCACGGTAGGAGATATGGCTTGGAGGACATTGGTAGGAATCGGGTCCAGTGGGCATGTAGTAGGACGGCTATGGGTCAGGAGTTCTGATACTTCACTTTTCATGAGAGGAGTTAACGAGGAGAGTGAAGTGCCATTGTCCTGCGAAGACAGAGAGGTGTCGAGCCTTTTGCATCATTTATTTATAAGGAGGGCAACACTCCAGTCCAGCAGGTGGCGGTAATGCGCTTAAAACGGTTTCTTTCTTTATGAATGCTTTGGCTGCCAGTGTGCATTTCTTGTATATAAATTATGAATGTAAATGTAACGTGTTGTAGGTAAGGAAACGTGGAAGGTAAAATAGTGAAATAATTACATATTTTGGGTGGTTTTGTGTGTATTTGGGCAGTTTTTGAACAGTTTCTGGCCTGGAATCCATCAGCTGGATCTGGCAACACTGGCAGCAGCACAGAACATAACATCAGCTGACCGGAGTCTACTGGAGAGTAGCTCCTGGTAGCTCTCACACTCAGTGTTCCCGGTAAGTTGGTCATTTGTCAGGTCAATTACATGACTTAAATAATAATAAAAATAGCCATCATCGTAGACCATACTTCCTAACCCTCCCATTTTTTACTGTCCTCTTCCGGGTCACAGCAGTGTGTTTAATTTTACGGTAGGTGATTGGTGGAGGTTACGCTGCTGACAAACGTGATTGCAGAATTATTTCTTAAACTGTTCTAGCAAACGGTCCTCTCAATTCTCTCTAATTCATTACTTGTAAATATTCTTTAAAATCACTAACAGCACTAATGCTGCCCATTGCTAAATAAGCCACAAAGCTGGCTAATTCCATATTTATCAGTAGAGGAGCGCTAACGTTAATGAGCAGTTCAACTATTTTGTTTAACGTAACATATACCTTACTCTAACCCTAACCTGCAAGCCAAGGCCTGTCTCTCGTTAGAGTCGCTACATCAGAAATGAGAGGGGACATGTAAATAAACACGAGCTGAAGGAGATTTGATATATGGTATTATTATTATTATTATTAGTAGTAGTAGTAGTATATTGGTATTTTTTATAGTTTCTGGCCCTTTAATGTTCATTAGTGGTAGTACTCCATAATTTATAACAAATCAGATATTTGTAAAATGTTTTCTGTAGTTTTATACATTTGACTCTTATTTATCAAAAACTTTAATTTGTTGTGCTTTTGTTCAAGTACTACTTTTAACAATCAAAAAAGTTTCTTTTTAAACTGCATTATGTCATCTGTGGTATCTTGGCATAGTCTCAACATGTTCTTACAACAAGGGGGAAAGGAATAATGCCTGATATATCAGCATATCTGATTTTAAAATCCTCAAATATCAAAACCGGCACCAGACTTAAAAATCCCATATTGGTCGGGCTTTAGTTTAAATGTAAATGCTCCGTATTTGCATAGCACCTTTCTAGTCTTTTCGACCACCCAATGCGCTTTTACACTACATCTGCATTCACCATTCACTCACATTCATACACTGAGACTAAGTGCTCAAACAGAAACTAACATTCACTCACATTCATTCACTCTAAGTGCTCAAACAGAAACTAACATTCACTCACATTCATTCACTGAGCCTAAGTGCTCAAACAGAAACTAACATTCACTCACATTCATTCACTGAGCCTAAGTGCTCAAACAGAAACTAATTCAATTTCAATTCAATTCAATTCAATTTTATTTATATAGCGCCAAATCACAACAACAGTTATCTCACAGCGCTTTTCATAAAAGAGCAGGTCTAGACCGTACTCTGTGATGTTATTTACAGAAGCCCAACAGTTCCCACCAAGAGCAGCACTAGGCGACAGAGGCAAGGAAAAACTTCCTTTTAAGAGGCAGAAACCTCGAGCAGAACCATGGCTCAGGGTGGGCGGCCATCTGCCTCGACCGGTTGGGGTGAGAGAGAGAGAGAGAGAGAGAGAGAGAGAGAGAGAGAGAGAGAGAGAGGGGCAGCCTATACAATATACACACAGAGGTACAGACACAACTAACATTCACTCACATTCATTCACTGAGCCTAAGTGCTCAAACAGAAACTAACATTCACTCACATTCATTCACTGAGCCTAAGTGCTCAAACAGAAACTAACATTCACTCACATTCATACACTGAGCCTAAGTGCTCAAACAGAAACTAACATTCACTCACATTCATACACTGAGCCTAAGTGCTCAAACAGAAACTAACATTCACTCACATTCATATACTGAGTCTAAGTGCTCAAACAGAAACTAACATTCACTCACATTCATACACTGAGCCTAAGTGCTCAAACAGAAACTAACATTCACTCACATTCATACACTGAGCCTAAGTGCTCAAACAGAAACTAACATTCACTCACATTCATATACTGAGTCTAAGTGCTCGCCCCCAGTTTAGTTTTAACACGTAAACGGTATGAAAATAAGATTAATTGGATTATATTTTTACAAGATGTATAAAACATGTTACATGTGTCCATAAAAAAATGATAAAATGTTAGGGAAATGACATTATTCTTTAACTGTGGTTTGCTGGAAACACATTTAATAACTAATTACTAAAACTAACAATGACTAAACACATTTGAGTACAGGATTATTCTGACTACATACAGATTTAAAATTAAGCATTTTTACTTTAGACATTTTGAGAGACTGAAGTACTGCAGTTGTACATTGAAATACCAAAATAGGGACATGGGAGGGCTTTGTAGCTGCCAGGAATATTCATGCAGACGTGGTCCAGTGTTCCTTTTGTGGGGATTTGGACATGCTGGTGGAATTTAGGTAAACAGTTCTGAGATCTGTTTGATTAAAATCACCAGCAACAATAAAAACACCTTAAGGTTGTTTTGTCACATGACTGCTGATGATCTCAAACAATTCGTGTAATACATTTTTACTTTTTTGCATCTGGAAGAATGTAAACAGCAACAACAACAACACAGAATTCCTTGAACAGATAATATGGCAGACATCCAAACATTAAAATTTCTGGTAAACGTTGTTCATCCTCTTTGACTGCATTTGAGCATCAAGCATCACTGACGTAACACACTCCTCTCCCCCTTGTCTTTCCGGACTACTGAATCCCGTCAGCGCAGAAGACACTCCATCCATCAAGTGTAATAGTACAAGAGTCTGCAATGCAGTACCTCAAGGCTCAAAGACAGTTTCTATCCCCAGGCCATCACACCTAATCAAACAAAGGGTTTAATGCAACTTTGCACACGACCAAACAATTTGTACACCTTGTTTGTCATTTTGCATATAGTATTAATGGTCTGTATTTGTACAGCACCTTTCTAGTCAATTCAGTTCAATTCAAATTAGCTTTACTGGCATGAATGTAACAACAATATTGCCAAAGCATCATACAAACTACATAAGAACAATCAACCCCATACATTTCATTAAACAAGTAATTAAATCGTGTGTGTGTGTGTGTGTGTGTGTGTGTGTGTTAGAAAAATTTAAATATATTAAAAATTTAAATAAAATAAAAAAATAAAACAGTAACCTTTCTAGTCTTTCCAACCACTCAAAGCTGTGTAGTGTGGAAATGAAAAGAGACTAAGGTGCCTCTGCCACCAGAAAAAGAAGGGGTTCAGTATCTTGCCTGATGACACTTTGACATGCAGCCGGGTATTGACCTTCTGATAAGTGGATGACCAGTCCCACTGAGCCACATCTGCCCTTGTAACACCTCTGTGAGTGGTGGTTGGATATGATAGTGGGTGGGTGTGTATTTGACTTCAAATAAGTTTTTTTCTTTATTTATCCCTTTTCTTTTTTTATTTATTAAACTTAATTAAACTTAACTTAATTAGACTTAAAGTTTCTAGTATATATTATATAGAATAATTAATTCAGGTAGTACAGTGCCCGATGGATCCCTCTATCTATTGAAAATAAAAAATTTGAATTAAAACATGGGAACAAGATACTACCTCGTGGCCATGAGAAAGTGTATATAAAAAGAGCCAGCACAATGGAGCAGCTTTTCTCCCCAAAGCTTGAGGCTGCTCCTAAAGGTTTGGTCTGGACAAAATGGGACTCAGGTTGGCCAAGAAATCAAAATCAGAGACTTCTGTGCCCACATCCTTACAGAGAACTGCTGATCAACATCCTGCTTATCAACATCCTTTTCAAAGCCTTCAGCACAAGAATCCGGGGAGGGACTCTGTTTTACATGGATAACGCTTGTTGTTCAAAAGCTGTCAAGATGGACAAATGTCAGACTTTTTATGGAGGATGATAACCATATTATCATATTGTTGCTGCTGTTTACATTCACCACAGAGCAAATAAAAAAACTGCATGTATAATAACTGTATAATTTTATTTTTATGTCACCTTATTTACCATTTAATTATCTGTTCATTTCTGTGTGTAGACTAGTGTTAATTAGAGTGGGGAGGCGCACAGAAACAGATGTTTCTCTCGCTTGCTCCCTCTCCCTCTCTCTCTCACACTGCTCTACTGGGTGGAAAGGAAATTGAAAAGCAAGCAGGCTAAGACAACAAACTGTGGTGTGGCAATTAGCTTTTGATTTCCGCTTGTTTCAGCACTCTGGACAGCACCATGCCTTTACAAACCTCCTAACCAGCCAGTATTGTATATACACAGAGAAAAATCATAGAGCCATTAAGTTATGTCAATTTACTTCTTCTTTTTAACTCAAATAGCTCTGACAAGTTTTGGATTTTGAACTCAACTGTATGAGTTTTAGAAAGTTAAACTTGCATTAATTCATTGTGTTGACTATTTCACACTTTTGTCGTGTTGATTGAACTTAAGTTATCAGTTGAAAAAAAAGGCACGAGTACGAGGATTGCCTAGGTGCTGCGTCTGATAAAAACATACATAATCAACTAATTATTAGGGTTTAGCGAGTACTCGGTTGAAACAAGTATCCGGTACAGATACTTTTAATGAGTATCATCAGAGTAAAATGTGTCAATATCTGTTTTATTAAAAACTATAAATATAGGAACCTTTTTTATCAATTACTATTGTGATCAAAAACATTGCTCTGAAGCTCAATTCTGAGGCTGTTCTGTAAATAGTTTTCTAATAAATACAGCAAGTTCTGGTAGAAATTTCAGGCTTAAATAACTTAAAGATTAAGCCCCGCCCATTCTCAGTACAGATACAGAAAATTTGTTTAACAGATACAGATAGAGATAGTGGTGCTGATTACTGAATTATATTCCATTATATTTTTATATTTTGAATTGTCACCTTGTACTGGCACCTATTTTTTTCCCACTTCAACCACTGCATATTTGAATATACAGTACATTTTTGTAAGTTCTGTGTGTAGGAGGCTAGGGAAAATGGCCTGAAAATTTGTCCCATATTTGAATATAGTTTTAATTATCTGTTAAGTTCTGTGTGTGGGATGAAGCAGGGTGTGAACTACTCGGGAGCAAGGGGATAGCTTGGCTCCCCTTAATAAGACATGAGCTCCCCTGAAAACATGATTTGTGAAATGGGGAGGCCTCTAAAATATTGACAATATGCTATTTATGCCATTCATTTCTATTTTTCTGTATCATCATGGATCATGTGTCAAATCAGGAGCTTCAGGCCATCTTGCCTGAGGGAATGATCAGCGCACTGGCTCCTCACGACATCCTGTCCCTGTCCACTCCAGCGCCTTGCTCCCTCTCAGGTAGACCTAAATGGGTTGTGTCGTAGTAGGACCACTGCGCTGCAGACATCGGTGATCGTTTCCTCTGCTGTTGAAGCCCAAGGCACCTGATTTTATGATGATCCATGATGATACAGGAAAATAGAAATGAATGCTATTGCAGCTGGAAGCTCTCCACAGTGCTGCGCAACTTTCTAAATTCTTCTCTCTCAAGGAAAAAAGAAAGGTCAGGTCAAAACAGTGTAAAGAGCCAGCTGTTGTGTGAAGCCTAATAGCAGCAAAAGGGCTATAACAATGGAATAAACAATGCCTGATATTATCACATTTAGCACTAGGCCTACATGCTTGCAGCTATGAATGTTTCTTTGCAGCAGGAATCCTGTCTTTAAAGCACGCAGTGTGTGCTATCATCTAAGCTTTGTGCACACGGTTAGGCAAGAGAGCTTTAGTAGTGGCTTGTGCCAGATATGAATAAGCTGGGCAGATGCAAGCGTTTAGAAAATCATGCAAATACCTTTTGAATTTCAGGTTTAGGTGTTCTACTGATGTAACTCAATCCAGGAAACTTAATTTTGGAGATGCAGTGGGGGATAATAAATGAGTGGATACAAAATCATGTCTGGTTTCACCTGTGAAGCACACCTTAGTCTGTATACTTCAATCAACCATAGGCTGCTCCCATGTTATTGCCACAATAATTCTTTGTGTTGTAAAGATTGTTATAGATAATGTGACCGGTTCATGGTTAAACAAAGCCCAAATTATCCTATTGGGGAATAGCTGTACCAATCAGCACACTCGGACAGAAACTTAGTAAATCATATTCAATACATACCTGGGAACCTTTTGCAAGCCCTGGTTTCTCGTTTATGCCTGCTGTCGCTAATTTGCATCATACCTACATCATACCTGAATTTATATCTTTTCTGTGTTCTATAGACAAATTAACAATTTCTACTTAATTTGACATCAACATGAAAGCAAATGAAAACAGAAATATATATTATTTCTTTTTATTGTAAATAAATTCATTCGTCAAGGGGTTAAAGTGATCGTATTGATACCATGTAGAAAAAAATAATTAAATTGTTAAACAAAACTGCAGAGCAGATTGTAGGTCAAATGTGCCCTGTTTTGCTGCTTTTTGATCACACCTTAGCTACCTACCAGAAATGAGAATGTAATTCAATGCATTTCTTTATTTTCTGTGAACTTTAAACAAATTACTAATATCTAATGATAATTAAACCTACGATGTCTGTCCATGTGCTGAAATTTGTCACAATAGATAAGTTTTCACTGCTCTTTCTAAGTTGTGTGTTACATGCAAATAGGGTAAATGGGTTTGGACCCCATAGCAGACACTCAGGCGAGGTAGGCTCAGTTAGAAGAATTTATTAACAGAACAAGGTGTGCAACTTGCTGGTAGTGTCCAAACAAGTCCCACACAGGAACAGTGGCTACGAGGATTCAGAGGACAGAAACAACACACCTGTCAAAGAAGCTGTTTTCAATCGGAGAAAATAAATTCATAGGACCGCCCCTCTGCCAAGCACCTGCCTGCGCAAGAACACGACCAGAGATTACAATGTAAAACACAGTCTTTAGTAAAGTTAATTAAAATACACAGAGTGACACAGTTTAAAATGAGCTGCTATAAAAGGGAGCCTTAATTGTCTCTAAAATGTCCAAAACAAAGGGCCGTTCCTACTCAGTCTGTCCTCTGAATCCTCGTAGCCACTGTTCCTGTGTGGGACTTGTTTGGACACTACCAGCAAGTTGCACACCTTGTTCTGTTAATAAATTCTTCTAACTGAGCCTACCTCGCCTGAGTGTCTGCTATGGGGTCCAAACCCATTTACCCTGCCTGAGCATGTAACGTATTCTGAGAGGAGTACTTTATGATGTTACCTTCTCAATGTATCTCAAAATAGCTACATGACTGCTTTCATATAAAAATAAAATCTGTCTAATACAAGCTAATACAATAACATAATCTTTCTTACCTTCATGTATCCATACCTCACTTTTATATTTTAATTTGGTAAAAGACACTAACTCACATTAATCAGTGACACACAGTCTAATTCACTCTCCACCTGTCCAATTCATACAAATTCATAAAAATAGGGTGCAGCATATCACATATCAGGTCATAATTTCTGCTAACTGTCATTAGCTTGTTAGCTCAGTTATCTGTGCAGCTAACTTAGTGATACTATTAGCTAACTGACTACGGAATGGGCGCCAGAACTGGAGCCGGTGGAGCAGGCAACGGAACAGAGCTCAGCAGCTTCCCAGTGATCACCTGGGCGGCATTTGTTACAAATCAAAGTAAAATAATAATAAGCACATTGATAACCCAGCAGTAGACCAATCATCAGACATTAGAGAGTTCCAAGGACAAAAACAGAGTTTTGAAAAGTGGGTGGGACATGTCTCCCTGTCCATAGAGGATGTCAAGCCCAAGCACTGCCTGAATGAAAGGGCAGCATATTCGCTTTTTCAGAAAATGGGCAATTCTTATCTAGTGCTGAGACACCTGGCACCTGCTGCCTATCCCTGCCTATTCCTATCAAACATGTTCCAAATCTGTGAACAGTGACTTCACCTAAGAAACCTAGCAGGGATCACTGTGATTATGGTCTTTACAGCCATTCTTACCTGGTAGGGGACTGTGGTGTTGGGTAGGTCCACACTAGCAATGAGCCAGCTGTCAGAGGCTTTGTTGGCATTCCACAGTTGGTGGTCGAAGTTATCACCGTCTGGTCTGAGGTGGAGCTTCAAGGAACCCCGTCCAGTGATCTGGTACACCAGCCTCACACAGCTCCAGTCCTGCTGGTCCAGAACTGGACTGACAAGAACTGCCTGCTCCTGGTCATGTAAGAAGGCTGAGTCCACTGTAATCAAATGCCCTATGACAACAAAATGACGATATAAAATTCATGTAAAGAACATATGAATATTATACAGCCTGATAGCTTTGATCAAAAGATAACTAAAGGTGATTTTATTCATAATGTGTTCATTTCAAGAGAATTCAGCTATTGTTTCAGCTAGCCAGTTATCTCGAGTTCATTAATAAGATGAACGCTACTTTTGCTGGAAATGCCCATTCCTAAAGTTCTGGGCATCACCATTGGAGTAGCCCTGACTCTGCCAAATCAGAGTAGAATTATAATTAAGACGCAATGTTTTGACAGCTAAAAAAGGCTAAACTTTCTGAAAACAGTGTGACATTTAACACAAACAACAAGCAATGCCAGTTTAGCTTTTCCCAAGATTTAGACGCAAAAGACGCTGGTGATGGACTCTCTTACTGGAATGAGGTTCGACTCGCTGCGGTGTCCTGCTTTATTTTTGTGGCTAATCCTACAGTACACTTATAAAATCAATACACCAATCTGGTGCAGAGCTGGGGCTTTAATTCCTGTTTGGCGACAATACTACCTCTTTTGGGTTTTGGTTAGCTCCAGTCCATGGCCAAGACATCACAGGAGAAGTTCAAATGCAATATGCCTCTTAGAATGTCACCATGCCTTATACACACGTGTGATTACGAGTGGTCCTTCAATTACCATATGAAGTTTGAGGCTGATTAACCAAAGCATAAGAGAGTAATTCCCACTTCCTGTTTGGGATTGCTTTAAGCAAATGCCATCATACCTGGTAACATTGGGATTTGAAAATAAGGGAAATAATAAGGGAACAACTTACTATATAGTTATTATCTTCATTATAATTACATATGTAGTTTAACATTAATCCACTATATTAATTCCAGTTACAGCTGTTTAATTTTTCTGGGTTGTTTTTATTAATTAAATCCTTGCGCAAGAAGCACAGTCTACATTGGTCTCTAATTTATTATGTCTTAACTCTCACATTGTAAATAATTTTTTCGGTTCCCACGTATCTATTTTTGGGGCAATATGTGAGTGAAATACTCTGTAGAGCAATGCATCATCCAACCTGAACAAACATAGCAAACATTGCAAATATGCCCAGCTGGTCTTGAAAGTCATATATTGTCCTGGGCCAGTGTATCCTTTGCCTCATGCGTCTTGCAATCCTCTGTCCCCAGAGGTAGCAAATCAGGAATAAATGATCAAATGCACAAGCATTTTTTTTAGAAAGGTTAAAAATACGGGAGTTGTACGGGAAAATGTTAAAACATGATGACAACGACATAGAACGTTAAAATACAGGAGAATCCCGGGAAAAACTGGAGGGTTGAAAGGTATGCCGGCCATGTCAGCTGCTGTAATAAACACGTCCATCTATTGAGTGAGCTGTAAGAAATTGATTGGCTTGCATAAATGAAACAAACTGACGTAGGCCTATGGAAATTTCTTTCAGCTTCATATCAGTGAAGCCTGTAGATGATCCTGACCACGTTTTGGGTCAGGTGGCCCAAAGGTTTCTGACAAAATGTCGAAAATATGATTTTTAGAAAACTGTTTTTAGAAATGGCAAAATGTGCCCAGATGACTTCAGGGAATATAATGATGAAAGAATGTTGACCGTAAGTCAAGCTGTTTGAGATAATTGCGGAAACAAAAAGGTGACTGAGGTCTTGCAGTTTTTGCTGCATAAACAATTTCAGCATAGAAAACTAAGACAACATTTTCACGGGCCACTTGAAAACACACTGAATTAATGAACTGCCACTTTGTTGGCACGTAGGCCGCCTGGTGATTTGAACCCCAGACCTTTGTATGCCCAAAGAAGGTGACTTACTGACAGAGCCCTTGGGGAGATGTAGTTTCCATACATCTTCTCACAAATTAAGGCAATGACATCACGTCAGACTAGGGTAGTTTGTCTGTTTATATTGAAAATGCTTGGTGATAAAATTCACAAAAAACTCATCATTCTGCTGGTTTCAGGTCTATTTTTCTTGTTTGAACAATGAGCAAAGCTGGTTTCTCTGACTCAGTCCAAGATAAGAAGAACCCTAACAGTTTACTCCTCAGTCCCTCTCTTCAGCCACACTCTCATCCCTGGCCCTCAGACTTTCCCTCCTTTCACCATCACCTGACTGCCCCACCCATCTACACATATTTTCCCACTTCTCTCATCGGCCCTGCAGTTACCTGGCCTACTCTGCTCACTCTTCACCTGCAACTCATTCCCTCATCAGCCACTCACCATAAATACCAGTTCACTTCCTTTTTTTCTTGGCCAGTGTTGCTATGTAACATTATGTAAGTTTTTTTCTATGCAGTTTGGCACCTCTACTGTTTCGGTTTTAATTAGGGCCCGAGCAGGAACCGTGCAAGGTCCCTATTGAAACCCTATTGAAACTGAAGGGATTATTAGAGTGTTTTTAATTCACCGCTGTTGTAAATAAGGACAGCTGTACAGGTGCATCTGTTATGATTACATAACAAAAAGCAGCAGAGGGCTTTTTCACAAAAGCAGAATTTAGAAATCCAGGATAAGAGAAAAAGCGATCAGATAAATGCACGTCAACAGCTTTCTTCCAGAGACCACACGGTTGATCACAGATTTATTGATGCTGAAAAATGAAAAGATGTGTGCAGCATTCTTTACACAAAGTGAGTAACGGCGAATAAAGAAGGTTTACAATGAAAAATTGCACATAATATAAAAAAAAAATTAACACGGCCGCAACATTGAAACAGCGAGAAAAAGCGTCACAGACAATTGAGGACTGACTTTTGCTCCACAAAAGCCATTATTAAACATGTAGCTCTCTTTTTTCTTTACCTCGCTACCATCTGCTTACAAATTTCCTGTCTTCCACCTGAAATCCACTGGACCGCAAGCTCACAGTGGAGAGAGAGAGACAGAGAGAGAGAGAGAGGGAGTGAGTTGTGGGGCAGATCCGTTGCAAAGCACTAGAAACTGTAATGAAAAGAATAGAAAGTTGTGAACACTTGTCATAATTCGGGAGAAATGTTTCCCGGGGAGGAAACCGTGAGAGGACAATGAAATACAGGAATCTCCTGTGAAAATCGGGTATGAGCGAACTGGAGCTAACCTCTGTGGCTCCTTGGTTACTTCTGTACGACAGCGTGCTGTATGTGACAGCTTTGCATATGTTTATCACTTGCTGGCAATGTTATGAATTAAAAAAGAGAGATTTTCAGACGTAAATTCATCGTGACTGAAACCCTAAGACAGAGTTTCCATCTGCACTTTATGTCACAGCTGAGGTCTGAGAGAGCAGAGAGGACATTTAGTGGATATAAACAGTGTTTATGGAGAACTGGTTGCTGGTGCCCTCAGTTCTAAATCAGGTTGGGGGGGGGGCAGTCAAATTTACAGCTGTATCTATGATCCCTTATTTGGTCAAATCAGTCCATTGAGAATCTACCTAGCAGCAGAAGGCAGCGATTTGCTCAAACAGTGCGCCATAGAGGAGCAGATAGGCCATAGTCCATAATGTCTCAATGTATGCAGAAAAGACAATATACGCCTGCAGTTGCATTGAACAACAGAGCAATAAAGAGGGTGTGAATAAGGCTGTGAAAGATATGAACCTGATCATTTATGAGGCAACTACTGAGGCTGACCTGAAAAAAAAAATAGAACACCAAAAGAAACAAAAACAAAATGAGAAATGAGTGAGTGAACCTGAGTGAAAAACCATCAGACAAACACTATAAAAACACTTTAAGAAGGAAAAAACAAAACTACACTTACCAAACACTAGACGATATTGAAAACTATTAAATCAATTCTGGGACATGTGGAACAAATTAAGCACAAGCAAACCACATGCAGCCCCCATTCAGGAAGGTTCCTGAGTGAAATGACCCGGAAATATTTAGGTAGCAGCCATGATAATTCTCTTAAGCTTAGGAAAGGTGCTTCAGTGCTTCCTTTCTTATTCCCTTTAGCATAGGATACACTGGACCATCCTTTACGAAAGGAAAGGAGATTATGCCGTCCCACAATTCCTTGCGGTAGCAACATATAAAACAACCACATTTTTCAAAATCCTTGCAAAATATGAGCAATGCCTGCAAACTTTTTTTCTTTATTGGACTCATTTATGATATTTAAATAAGGCACTCACAATTTCCTTGTTTCTTTGGGTTTGTTTTCTTTTGGCTTTGCTGTAATTTAATACTGTTTTAACACTACTTTTTGGGTTGTTTTAATATGGCATAAAGTTTTGTATTTGAATTTGCTACAATAAAAAAAAAAACTCTACTACCACTACCATTGGCAATTAAGCCTTTCTCTCTTATGCCATAACATGCCATATGCATATGTTTTGAACAGTCAACAATAACTGAAACCCATGTTTGTTACTAGTCTTTTCAAAGTGAGGATAATGTTGAAATGTGTCGGTTTTATATGCCTAGTTTGAATTTTTGGCCAATATATTGCCAGCCTTCACCCTTGCCTTAGCAATGATCAAGCTACATGACCTCTTCAGTAAATGGAAAGTATTATTTACATACAATAATTGGGATTCATGTTGAGAAATAAGGGTGGGCAGGAGGGTGAGTGTGAGCAAGCATTCTCAATGTGACAACATTTCCATTATTTGGTGACTGGTACCCTATATGCCATTTTGCAACCTCGGTAATGAAGTAATCTTTTCCACCGTGTTGTCCACCTTTAGATGGCCTGCATTAAAAGAACACAGGGCAATGTGTCAAAGACACGCTTTTTGTAGTCCATCTTGGGAACACTGTAGTTTTATCAAGGCAGGCCACGTCAGTAACATCCGCCGTCGCATAATTATTTAGCCTAGAGTGTTATGCCCCGTGGTTGTCTTTTCCTTATGGTTCCTTATGAATTGTCCATCACATCATTCCTTGACCTCATGACAATTCCTATCGAGGTCAAGGACTTTTTGACTGCGGCAAAGGTCTTGTATCTCCCATCCATATTACATTTACTCATTTGGCAGACTCTTTTATCCAAAGCGACT